ACTTTATTTCTTAAGGTCAATTGAGCCGAATAAAAGTTCTGCAAAAACAATAAACATACCAAGTTAGATATACCAAAAACTACACTGTGAAGATATAACAAGAACATAAACATAAAGAGTAGTAGTTTATTTTTCAAACTTAAATTTGCAACTGTGAATTTAGTATTTGTCTTTGTTTTTTGGTTGAAGTAATGCAATTCATTCAAGTTTCAATTTGCAGAAGAAAATAGTTTCTGAAACTTAAATCGCAACACGAAATGAAATCGCAACAAAAAATGACTATCGCAACGCGAATTGACTATCGCAACGCGAAATGAAAATCGCAACGACAGAATCGCATTGCGATAGTCATTCTCGGTTTCAAATACTAAAATTGAAAGAAACTTGAATGGATTGCATTACTTCAACCAAAAGACAAAACAAAGACAAATACTAACTTCACAGGGTTAAAGACTAAACAATTTAGCAGTATTGGTAGCAATCGAATGAATTTAATAAGCAATCTAAGTGAAATGATTAATCTATTATTGAAAACACCAGTAAACTTATCATCAATTTCAATATGAAAAACCTAATAATAATGCAAAAATTTCAAAATAAAAATAATTAAAAAAACTAACACTCGGTGGTTGATTTGGTTGATTTTCCATTTCTGACCGTGAATGATTTCGCCGGAGATGGAGACTGATATCTTCGGAGATGGGGACTGATTTCGTCGGAGATGGGGACGGATGTCGCCTTAGAGAGTGAGAGATGGAGATGAGACTGAGTTGTGATTTAGGGTTTTAGGTTATTTTGCGATTACGGGATATACTGTGGACGTTTCAATGTTCCGATATTAATATATTCGTGTTTGGAATTTGAAAAAAAAAATACGCGTTGGATACGAATGGCGCTATGTAAATCGCATTGCGATAGTCAGATTCGCATTGCGATTTACGTATTCGCATTGCGAATTAGGAAAATCGCAACGCGAATTTGGAAAATCGTAATGCGATAGTCAGAATCGCGTTGCGAATTTGGAAACTGAATTTGCGATACCGGAGATCGCGTTGCGAATTATCGATCGCATTGCGATTTAGTTGGTCATTTTGGCAAATCCAAAAAGAGTTGGTTAAAATCGTATATTATAAGGTATTTTTGGTCACTGAGGTTATTTTCTCTTTAAAAAATTATATTTTAGTCACTTATATTATTGATTGATTAAATTTTAGTCACTTACTCTATTGATTGTTACATTTTGGTCATTGAATCGTTAAATTCTATTAAGTTGATAATGTATCACATTAATAAAAATGGTTAGTTTTTAATTTGACCCTTGAACTTTGGATAGAATACTAATTTGACACTTGAACTTTAAATGAAATATCATTTTTGACCATAAACTTTAGATGAAATATCAATTTAACCCTTAAATTCAATCGAAGTCTCTTGTTGTCGATTAGCACTCACCACCATCATTGTCGTGTTAGCATTAGTGCCATAGGCATATTTTATGGACGTAATATTTTGATTATTGATTTTGATTATTATCATTTACGTGTAATTTTATTATTAATATCTTTGAATAATATTGTTAATTATTTTAAATATCCCTATTCGATTATTATTATGAGAATAATAATAAAATAAGATTGATGTGGAATTTGATAGATATTCATGAGATGGATATGTGATGCTACGAAATTATTACAACATTCAACGCAAGAGCACGAGTCGTAAATCAAGTAATAAAGTGGAAACTTCAAGAGTTTTGAGTGTAGAACCCACATAGAGCAAGATTAAATCACTAGATAGTTGTTGGGAAGATAAATGTTTAAGGTGACCAATCGACAGAGTTATAGCAAAGGTAAAATTCAAAATATTAAAGTGTCAGGTAGTGCTACAATATTCAGGGAGCATTAGATTGAGGCTTGAATGGATTCAGATGATTAACAATGTTTAATCAACATAAATTAACCTTCATTAACCCAAATAATTAAACAATTAATATTGCATAATATTGACAACATATGTCTCAATACACTAACTTGTTTTTCACATATACCAATACTGGACAGAAGTTGTACTTATTTCTAAATATCGAGATAAAGCATAAAATATGATGATTTTACTTATAAAAACATCCAATGAAATTTAGTAGCAAATAAAAGTAAAACAAGATCATGAATCAATACAAAAGCGTTTACACAAACACTTGATGTTGATAATCAAATAACATCCCAACAAATATATAGGCTCCGTGGTGGATTCTCAAAGGTCATATAAAGGCCTAAATAAGGAAATAAATTTATGTTGCAAATCTGCAATTTAATTTGGTCAAAAAGGTGTCTGATTTGAGATTTGAAAAAACAAACAAAGGTAAAAACGTTACATTCTCATGTTTTTTAATTAATATATGGTGAATATAATTGATAGTATATTTTTAAAAATTCTCAATTATTTGATGATAAACACTCAAATACTCTATAGTCATTAGTGTTCAAATCCGATACTTTTAAAGATAATAATTATCCCTTTAATCACTAATGTTACTTGATTTATGTGTAAAGATATTACATATTTGCTTCAATACAAAACAAACCTCAATAATTAACAGTCATTGAAAGATGTGATGATGAATTTATTCTCTAGAAATTTAAATTGAATTTAAATCTTAAAGTTATCACTATTTGAAAAAATTTATAGTAAAAATGAAGGCTTGAAGATAAAATAAGGTTAAAAAATAACTTGCTTGAAACGTGTGCAGGACATTATTTGTAAAGATATTTTATAAGATATATATTCTCTAAGATTCAACAAAAAAGAAAACAGGGTAGGGTATATAAATGGTCCATGATAATAATACGATGTTTTATTGATTTCTTTAATTGTTAAAAGATACAAAATATCCCTTGACCATAAGACATTATTTTGTTGAGTCTCGTGATTATTAAAAGGTATGATATGGTTATCTAATAATTTATATCTTCCAAACTCGTTTATTTTTATTAAAAATTTGATGGTCATCTGAGCTAGATTTTAACTTGCTGATTGAGATATGATAAAACCATATTTTGGTGACGTCTACTGACACTGTCGTTGCTTTCAAGTACCGACTTGATAACACAATGTAAATGGAGAGTCGATCCACAACATATAACTCAAACGATTATGTGACCAAATTTTATCATATCTCGTACTCAATAAATTAATGTCCAACTCAGAAGACCCCTAATTTTTTTTAAAAAAAAACGAGTTTGAAACATATGAATATTCAGGTGACCATTTTGTAACTTTTAATAGTCGATGGACTCAATAAAGTAACTCTCTATAATCAAATGATCATTTTATAACTTTAATAACCGATGAACTCAACAAAGCAACACCCTATATTTCATGATAAAATTATTATTATGGTTTAATTTTAATGGAAGTCAAGATTTTAGGCAAAATTTGTGAAGTTTGGAGTATTTTTCAATGAAATATACATCAAATTTACGTTTATAAGCCTAAAAAGGAATGAATTAAAAATGTTGGATCCTAATTATTGATAATAACAGTGAGTGGTGGTTGATGATGAGTGATTTTGGTCAAATTTAGTGGTCAAAATAATATTTTATCTAAAGTATAAAATTTAATTAATATTTGATATAAAGTTCAGGGTCAAATAAAAAATTAATCCTGTTACTAACGTATCATTAACGTCCCAACCACCAAAAGTTACTTTTTTTAAATCTATGAAAACAATAAATAAAACAAAACAAAAACAATCATTTTAATAATTTACTCTAAAATGTTTTGTAAGTTGACTCACGTGAAATTAAGTATTTTATAAAAAAATATTTTTAATAAACACTTAAGTTATCTTAATTTGATCTCAACCCTAAATCAAAATAATTTTTTTTTTCAATTCTTACAATTATAATCATGTCAATCAAATCAAGACTCAATAAAAATAAGTTCAAATCGTAAGACTAAACTACATATTTTTTAATCACAAATTAATGATATATATCTTAACTATCATAATTTAATTTTTGTTAAATGGCATAAAAATTTTAAGTTTCAAGTTTTTAAAGATGATTTTGCATTAACCCAATTATCAAGGGCAGCACCATACGGCAGCTGGGAATTGGTCCTATTAATTTGGTAAATTATCTTTTTGATCCTTTAAAACTTGCAAAATTGAAAACAAATTGAACGGTAATATAATATTTTGATGTTCCAAAAATTTATATTACCATCATGACAATTTAATAATATTTGACTTCACCTATTTAATTAATTTCTAAATTTAATAAAGTATATAGGTAAAAATCAGATTTTAACCAAAAAAATAATATTTGACTTCTCCTATTTAATTAATTTCTAAATTTAATACAGTATATAGGCAAAAAATCAGATTTTAACCAAAAAAAATATTTTAATTGTTTTGAAATTAGATAAATCAAAATTTGATCCTTTGTTTTTAGTTTTAATTGTTTTTAGGTCTATAATTGTTATTAGCTTTAAATTCTCATAGTTGCTATTTGAATTAGCTTTACTTTTACAAATAATTAGTTAATTATTTTTTAAATAATCTGAATTGATTATAAAGTAATATATTTATATTTTTTGTTAGCATATTAACAATAAATACACACCCTACACACATAATCGCTTGAATTCAAATACCCTAAAAAGAAAACCATCAATTCTATCACTAAAATCACTTAATAAATTTAATTAATTTATATTTGAATTCATTATCTTTCTTATTTTTTATTTTTAAAAAATTAAACTTATTGAATGTAATTTTTCAAATGATTTAAATATCTAACTAATTATATAAATTATTTGGCATTTAACAAAGAAATAGATTAAGATTCTAAAGTAAATTTGTAATTAATTTTTTTTTATAATTACAAATATAACTTATTGCCATTCGTATTTTAAATAAAATAAATTTTATATTTTTTTTCAACTTTTAATCTTAAATGATCTAATTTACATATATACATAGAGAGAGAAACAGTGAGTTAACCATTTGGTTTCTAGTTTCTCTGCAAAATTTGATTAGGGCTTCAATCTTTGAGCTAACCACTCAGCAAAGCTGGATATGCACAGAGGCGGCCGCTCTGGCGATAGCAACAACCATGACTCTGTCTTCAATAACTGCAACCCCTATCTAGCCCCCTCGCGTTTTTCCGACGCCTCTCTTATGAGCCGCTACAGGACCAATAACGACGCCGACAGTGATTCCAACGACAAGTTCGATACCCAAGATCCCTATCTCCACCATCGACGTAGCCCTAGCAACTTCCGAGGAGGGCATCATCCGTTCGATAGCCCTCCTCTTCAGCCTCACAACAGCAGTGGTGTCGGAGGAGGTGGAGGTTTTCGCCCAATTGGTGGTGGCTCAGGAGGCGGAGGCGGAGTGTTTCGGCCTGTGGCTGGTGGTTTCGATGGTAATTATCAACAACCTGCACCGCATCCTGTGCAGCAAAGTTACACGGGACAGAAACGCCCTTTTCCCTTCTCTGGTCGTGGAGGTGAACTTCCCAACAAAGGTTCGTTTTTCTTCCAACAATTGGAAGTTATTATATGTATATATTTTCAATTGTATTTTTCTCAATCATATACTGCTTTCACTAATTGAATAATTCGTCAATTCAAAGGATTTTAGGTCATTTCCTTATCTTTTTCTTCTCTTTGGTGAACTTCTATTTCGAATTATAAATTTACCAAGTGCTCGACATTTACTTCTAGTTTTTGTTCTTTGGCTGCATGGATGGATTCAGCTACAGATTATTTTATCTTCAATTTTCCTTTTAATATTCGTATTTGCCTTTTTTTTATCGACTTTTGACCATTATAATTGCATATCCTGACCATGACTTGCATATATTTTTGACTTATCCTTTACTTTCATTTTTTTCTGTCAAGATCGATTTGGTATTGTTGGCAGTGGTGGAAACTTTGCCAAACTTTTTGTGGGATCTGTACCAAAGACTGCCAGAGAAGAGGATGTAAGTTCATGTGACGGTGACGGATATGGATCGTGTATATATTGAATAAATACCACTTTACCATCTAATATTAATATATTTTACATTTTGGACTTTTTGGTATTATTTCTTGCACAAATGATTTTATTCATCTTTTGTCAGATTCAACATGTATTTCAACAACATGGAGATGTGATAGAGGTTGCTTTAATAAAAGATAAGAAAACAAGCCAACCTCAAGGTTAGCGTGAATTTTGTTTCATTGTTAGATATTTTTTATTATGCGTATCTCATTTCAGGTCTGCTGAGAGGCTGATAGGAGCGAACATTAGCTCATCTTCATCTCAGTTTGTTTTTGATACAAGTTTCGCGCTTGTTGGTTTTGGTTGCTACCACCTTTTTCTTTTGTTGCTCCTGCCAAAAAAGGAGAGAAATGTAAACCCATTAAAACCTGGTTTATGTATAGAAAAAGTAGGGAACTTGTACTGCAAACAGAACATGTTCTTTAAATAATGGATTCTGTTGCCAGGGCAATAGCCAACAATTAATTTTCCTTGAAATGTCTATTTCTGTTGATGTAGTATACAACTATATATAAATATATAAATTAAAGGATGTGCTACTGTTATATTATGTAGAAACAGAAATTCTATGATTGTTGTGTTGAATGGTTTATATCATATTATTTGTTGCAAGATTTCTGTGCTTGACTGTTATCTTGAAGAATCTGGTAGTTCTTACTTCTATATGGGGTTGATTTTTATGTGGACCGATTTTATGTTTACATGATGTATTTGAAGTTGGTTGTTTATTAAATATGGATGGTACTTCAGTTCTATGTGTTGAAAGTTCCTTGGTTCCATGCTGTGGTACTCGGAGCATTACAAGAAGTCAAGCATCTTACTTTTGTGGGATGGATATGTGTTCCTGGAAATAGATTGGTTGTTAACTGTGTGTATTTGGGCCTGTTTGTTGAATTATTTTCTATAATTGGTTGAATGGCTAGTCTATATTGGTGGTCAGCTCATTTTCTGCATCGACTTGTGTGGTTATAATAATGCCATAAATTGTTTGGGAATTTTCTTATCTACAATAGGAAATTGGTTGGTGAATGTGTATTGTGGCATGTTGATTGAATAATTTTCTATAATAGGTTGGATGGCTAGTCTATATTGTGGCCAGCTCATTTTCTGTATTGAAATGCTTATTATAATGCCAGAAATTCTTTTGGAATTTTTTTCGTCTACAATAGGAAATTAGTTGCTGCCTCTGCTGTATGTTATGACTGATGTAGCAGTTCATTGCATTGGTTGTTCATTTTGCTAATTTGCATTTATGCTACAGGCTGGCTTTGTTATTAGATTTCTCTTTTTTTCTTTTCTTTTAATTTTCCTTAAATATATTCAATATTAATATGTTTGGGTAGTTCATCTTGTTGATGTTTATTTTATTCCACCTATCATGTCCCATTGGAAAAACAAAGGCTGCTTGCGGCAGATTTTTGATGCTCCTATGTGTTCCCTTTTTTGTACTTCTCATTGTTGATTGCATCAGTAGTGCCAGTGTCGGGGCTGACAGATTTCTCATTTTGAGGAAGCTCATTTTCCTTTTAATAGCTTGGATGCTGTTGTGGAATGTGAATATTTAATGTGCATGGAGGAATGAGTGTATTTGAATTTAAATCAACATGGAGGAATGGCTGTATTTGAATTTAAATCAACGTGGAAGATCAGATTATAGAATTTGTGCAGCATAGTTACCTGAAATTGTTGTTCCCTACTATCAGATGGATTTGTGAAACATTTTTTCCTGTTGTGAGTTGTCTAGGCAGATGTGGTTGTACATTATTCAGAGAGAACTGCAGCCCATTTTCATGGGATACTGGTGAGGAGTTGATGTTTTCTCTGAGTGATTGAGTTTATGTTCTCATTGATGCTTGGTGAAGTGAGTGCTTTGATGATTCTGTCTTGGAATGATTAGATGGAGCTTTAATAGATGTGGTCTACGTACATTAATTTGATTTTATTTCAATTCTGAAGCAGCAATACAACTATGAATTTTCGGTAGATTTTTGAAATTGGCACTTGGTTTCTTCTAGTGCTTGTCAATTGAGAATTTATGTTTGATGTACCGATTTGGTTCTTGAGAGATGTGATTTAATTCAAATGTTTGTACAAATTTGGTTCTTGAGAAGTGTGCGGAGATGGTGGAATACCAGATTCCTTTTGTTTAGCGTGAATATGTCTGCTGTAATTATGCAACCTATGGTGTCTAGGTTAAATTATTTATTTCCAACTTGAATGAGTTAAACATTTAAATGATATGGATGTCTTATTTGCACAGCAAGCTTATTGCTGCTGATTGTCTCTTATATATTGATGTCCTTAGCCTTTGTACGTTATTTGCTTAATTAGATTGTTAGAAAATGTATGGTGGGGGATTTGTTTTGGATTGAACAGGATGAAAATGACAATGAGAGGCCTAAAATGCATGCTCTTTGGTTCTAAGGTCGTCGGACCCTAGATTTCTGTTCTGCTTGGTGCTTGTGTCATGCACATTGATTATCTTATTTGGGGCCCATTGGGAGAGAATTAATGCCACCTGACATATTATGTGCTATGCTCATTGTTTATCTTATTTGGGGTCAATTGGGAGAGAAATGATGCCGCTTGGCATATTGTAATGTTCTATGCACATTGTTTATCTTATTTTGGGGTCCATTGGGGGAGAAATAAGGCCCCCCTTTGACATATTGTCACGTGTTTTAACGTGAATGACAAATAGTTGTTTTTGTAAGTTCTGACTTGTCTGTACGTTAGTGCCTGTCACTGACACCTCTAAGCTGCTTAGAGTTAAGGTTTGAATGTTCTCGTGTTTTCTGTGTAGCCCCCTCTGGGGGGTATCTGGTTGTTTGCCTTGCTTTTTTCTCTATGGTTTTGTAATATCCTCTCTACATGTACCCCTAGATGTTCTGTTTGTAAGCTTGGTGGTGATTATTTTCATGGCAAATTGATTCTGTTCAGCTTCCAGCTTATTAGAAATTATTTTTTCTTTTTCACTTTTCTCTCTTTCTGCCTCCTATTTTTCTGACTGTATTTCTTTAAGTTCTTTTGGTTTTATCTGGTTTGGTACATGGATTTATAATGCATTGATCAGCAAGATTGTTCTTGTGGGTCTTTTTCTTGAATGTAGCAAACCGTTGGTTGATTAGTTGCATGTTTTAAGAAAATTATGATTTAGTAATATATTTATTTTAAATAACTCAAGCAGATGGACTTGCTACTTTTATACTACGTACTATCTAGTTCTACCATATCCTATTAAGTAGTTATCTGGAAGGTGTGTATTCTGTAAATTGAGTTATTTGTGTCATGCTACACTGCCTTGACAGAAAGATGATTAGTTGAAAGTGTTTTCTCTTCTGACAATTCTGATATAGTGGTTGGCATATGTTTAATTTTTGTGTGGGATGTGCTAAATGAAAATAAATTTTATTGTAAAATGGATGTTTTGGATTCCCCCCCCCCACAACAAACCCTTTCTTTTTCTCGCCTCATTTATATGCAACCGAAATGTAACAGCCTTATTTCATGACACGTGGATCTCTTGGTTGCATGATTTTTTATGTATCTGCCTATCTGCACCATTTCTGTGGGTGCAAGTGATCTAACAAAATTAGAATTAAAACTCTGGTTATGCAGGATGTTGTTTTATAAAATATGCAACCTTAGAAGAAGCTGATAGGGCTATTAGAGCCTTACACAATCAACATGTTCTGCCTGGGGTGAGGTCTTTTGCCTCTTACGTTTTTTTGTTTACTTGTATATTCTGAAATGGTTTTACATTCTCTTACAAATGAAATTGTGGTACATTCTCATGCAAATTCACAGGGAGTGGGTCCTATCCAAGTCAGATATGCTGATGGGGAACGAGAACGCCTTGGTAATAATTTTACATATTTGTATGCTCTTGAAGCTTGATCTGTAATTTTTGAGAATGTGTCAATAGAGGATCTTTGTGGTTATATGCACTATTCTCATTGAATTCTCAGCTAAGCATGTAATATCCGTGGCACTCACTTCTACTAACGTGTGGTTTTTGTATTTAGGTGCTGCATGCCCTTGTTTAAGTAATCCTTTATGTACCATGATTTTTTTCTAATGCCTTTTAATTTCAGAATGTAGGGTGCTTGTATCCCTCTGTTCATATTGGCATAGTTGTCCAATGACTTCTCCAAAAGCATAGACACATGCGTATGCAAATTGTCTCGTGTGTTACACAATCCAAGCATATTTGTGTCTATAGTTGAATCCCTGTCTCATAGTTGAAACTTGAAACTCCAAAAGGTTGAAGAAAATGAACTTTAAGTAGTAAATAATGCAAGTAGGTGCATGATTTGTCTAATTGATTGGAAACATTATGGTTTCCTTTATAAGCATTAGTGGGAGATAGATTTACATTCTTAGTTTAAGTTGACTTTCCATTGACATTTGACAGAAATCTCTAGATTTATCTGTGCCTTAAACTTTTGACTGCTGTGGTGAATTGGGATCTTTTGTTTTATTTTATTTTTTGGGGGGAGGTGTGTGTGTGTGGTAATTTTGTTCATTATGCATGATGTTTCGTGATTAGTTTTTTTTATCCTTTTATTGTCTTATTTATCCATAATATATTCTTATTTATCTTAATGGCAGGTGCAGTTGAGTTCAAATTGTTTGTTGGATCGCTGAACAAACAAGCTACTGAAATGGATGTGCAGGAAGTAAGTCATACAGATATTTTATTTGTACAATTATGGTGTCTATTTCTGAGGCTTCTATTATTCTGGTGTGAGTAGGATCACCTCAATTGTTAAATGTCTTTTTTTCCCGTTTTCTTATGCATAACTCATATAAACTGACATTATTTAACTAATTTTAGTTTTCTGATTTTTTATTTTTTATACATTTTACCAAAATAGTAATTTCTGTTCCATTGGCAGATTTTTTCTCAATTTGGTCGAGTTGAAGATGTTTACCTCATGCGTGATGAATTAAAGCAGAGTCGTGGTGTGTCCTTGAGTTCTATACTTAGTGACCTTGGATTTGATGAATGGTTTCCGTTCTTGTTTCTTTTGTTACAACATCTTATTAAAAATTACATCTTTTTGATAATTTCTGTTCAGTTCTTAGATGTTCACATAAAATCACTTTCATTACATTTTCACCATCTTTCATATAATTATTGTTTTCATTTTGAAGGCTGCGGGTTTGTTAAATACTCCGACAGAGAAACAGCTTTAGCAGCTATAGATGCTCTCAATGGAATTTATACAATGAGAGTATGCATCTATATTTTTCTCATAATGCTCTGTTTACTGATTATTATTGATGTGCCAATTTATTATTTGTTTTCTACATTTTAGGGTTGTGATCAACCATTAACTGTCCGTTTTGCGGATCCTAAGAGGCCTCGGCAAGGATCTGGAGACCCAAGGTTTTCCTAAAGACATTTTATGCATTTCTTGTGTGTAAACTTGTACAATGATGTAATTAGGAAAGGACCATGCTTTTGATGGTTTGCTATATCTGTTACTTTTGTTGGACACTTTTTACCTTCCATCTGGATGAAAGTTAATTGTGTATCTGTTTGTCAATTCATCTGTTGGCACGTTGCCTAAGTTACACATTGAACAAGTTGTAGGCTGTCTTTTGACTTGCTTCCTTTCCAGGGGTGGTGCTGCTGCATTTGGAGGTCCAGGTTTGGGTCCTCGTTTCCAAGCACCAAGGCCTAGGTACTCAAGCAAAGTCCAATGCTTTTAAGGCTTAACCTTTCTCCTTATTTTGTGTGGCTATATGCCTGAATTTCTGTTTTCATGCTATTAATTACAGAGCAGCAACCAACATTGGAGACGCCACGGGGGATCGTGTTCCACCTACTGATTGGCACCCTATGAGTCCACAGAATATGGGACCAACTCCTAATCCTGGAATTCGGAGTATGGGGAACCAGATGTTACCTAGGTCTGCTGACCTAGCAATATCTTTAAATCCAGTAAGAACAATATTTGCATGGCACATAGTTAATTTTTACTACAAAACTCTGTTAATCAGAAATATTTCTTCTTTTTGGCATTTAGTAACATATTTTATGGATGATATGCTGAAATTGTATTTTGAAATGTGAACAGTATACCTTTGACTGTAAGAAACTTCCTTTAGGGTTGGCTTCTATTTTTTTGTTTTTATAGTTAAGGTGGTCAATTTCCCCCCCCCCTTCAATCAAAGCAAAGATTCTTTCATTAAAAAAAGTGAAAATAACCTAATTAGATGAATTGTCATTTAAATGCTCTGTCGATTGGAGCCTGAAAGCTATGAATTGGTGGTCATACTCATCTTTTTCTTGGCCTTTTGAAATGTTGTCAGTTGTCAACTAAATATTTTAGTATTATTTATCAGGCACACTCTTTCTTACTATGCTTGTAAAGCAATAGGGTGTTCTTTTGGTGGCCCTTCAGATGGTTCTCTTTCTGGCCTTGTAGTTTCATCTAAATGTACTTTTTTTTATAGGAATAATAGGCCTCATTAAAAACCCCCTTCATGATTGATGGAACTCTGAAAAAGTTCCTTAATCAGCGGAAGGAGGAAAAGAGTGCCTTGGATTTTATTAATAATAAACTTAATACAATATATTACAAAAACCTAAAACTCCTTGAAGGAAATCGACAACCTAAATAGTTACAACCTTAAAAACAACATAAATATTAACCAATTCCAGCCTTAGCTAGAGCGTCTGCCTCTAGATTAGCTGCCCTATTAACCCATCTAATAACACCTTCACACAGTCTAAGTTTTTCAATAATATCTTTAACAATGTAAGCATAAACAGCAGGACATGAAATGAAATCCCTAACCCAGTCAACTGTCACCCTGCAGTCACTCTCAATTATCAACCGATCCTTTAATCTGTGTCGTATAGTGTGAAAGAAAGATAAGCCCTTTAGGAAAGATTTCAATTCCATCAAAGTAGGAGGACCAGGACCTGCGGATTCCTTGTAAGAGTCAATGATTGTCCCGTTATCATCTCTCGAAACACCACCTATCCCACTTCTCTTCCAGTCAGTAGTAGTAGCAGCATCGGCATTTAATTTGATGAAGCCCTTTGGGGGAGGGGACCAATTAATCACAGTTGCAATCAGTTTGGTGTTAGGAGAACAAGAATACCCTAAGGAAGGATCTGAAATAAGCAAATCCTTAGAGATCGAAACCTGTTTGTACTTAGCTAAGTACCATGAAGCTAGCCTGAATCTAGCTAAAAAGAAGAGTTCTGCTTGATCTACCTTTCCTCCTTTAAAAACAATATAATTTCTGAATTTCCAAATTGTCCATAGGACAACCCCTGGAATAAATGACCATATGGTTGAGTTAATCCTCAAATCAGCCCATGCTAGGAGAAATATTTTTGCATCAACATGAAAGACAGATTGAATGTTCTAGAACCTAATGAATTTATTCCAAATGCTCCAAACCACCGAACAAGTAAAAAATAAATGGGAGGGTGTCTCATCAAACTGCTTGCAAAAAGGACACAACAAGTCATCTATACCCATCATACCTCTTTTAACAAGAGCTGACTTCACTGCCAACTTCTGTATAACAACTTGCCATACAAATGTCTCCACTCTTGGAGGCAATAATCCACTCCAAACAACATTCTTCCAGAAATTAACATCTGATGAACTTGAGGTCCCTGAATAACACTGACTAACACAAGATTTCACAGTAAATACCCCATCCCCAGTGCCTTTCCAGACCAGTACGTCAGATGAATCAACCGAAAGGGAAATATTTGAAATAATTGTCATCAAATTAGACCACTGCTCATATTCCCAATCATTCAATTCCCTTCTTAAATGTATATCCCAAAACTAGCTGCCTGAGCTAAAATCACCAAACTCAGATAATTTTCCAGTTTTGTTTAAGGAAATGGAAAACAATCTCGGAAAAATGATCTTTAATGGTTGATCCATTGCCCAAACATCTTGCCAAAATCGAATGCTACCCCCATCGCCAACTTGAACAAAATAGTTGCTTCTAATTTTACAGCCAGTAGGGTCTATTTGTAATGATTGTTCACCACGGATCTCCAAATCCATGAAAATTTGGGTGTAACCTTATTGTCAAATAGCAGTAAAGAAGAGTCTAAATTGTATTTAGAACAAATCAATCTCCTCCATTCCGCATTTATTTCATTAGCAAACCTCCAAGACCATTTTTCTAATAAAGCTCTGTTTACCTTGTCAATGTTTGGAACCCCCAATCCACCTTCGAATTTTGGTTTGCACACATTGGGCCAATCCACCCAATGAATCTTGTTCTGACCATTTCCTCCGCCCCATAAGAAGTTGGACATGATAGAATTGATTGACTTGTACACCGAAGCCGGAACTTTAAACAATGACAAATAGTATGTAGAAAGCGAGCATAAGACTGAATTAATTAAAACTAACCTCCCTGCCATAGAAAGAGAGGATGCCTTCCAACCTGCCAACTTCTTGTTGAAACTATGAACCACTGGATCCCATAGGGCAGAAGAATTTCTTTGTGCTCCCAGAGGTAGTCCTAAGCGTTCTGAAGGAAAGCTACCAACAGTACAACCCACCGAATTTGCCCAATCTCTTATTTCCTCTTCATTCATATTCACCCCAAATAGTTTTGACTTCTTTAAGTTCAACTGGAGACCAGATATAACTTCGAAGACTCGAAGTACTCTCTTCACGTTCATAACCTGCTTTTTAGATGCACCACATAATATTATTAGGTCATCAGCAAATTGAAGGTGGGATAATTTGAAAGTTCCCTTCTCCCTGCTAATAACCATACCCGAAAATAACCCTTCTGAAACAGCCCTACGAAGCAAAAGATTAAGGAGTTCCCCAACTGTGTTAAATAACGTAGGAGACAAAGAGCAACCTTGACGAATACCCTTTGCCATTGGGAATTCCTCTGTAGGAACCCCATTAACCAAAACTGATATAGAAGCTGTTTTGACGCATTTCGAGATCCAGCTAATCCATGTAGAACCAAAGTCCATTTTCCTCATTACTCTGAAAAGAATAGGCCAGTCAACTGTGTCATATGCCTTTTTAAAATCCACTTTAAAAACACAACCCTTTAAACCTTTCTTCCTCCAAAAATCAATTCCCTCATTAGCAATTAAAGAGCAGTCCAAAATTTGACGACCTGGGATGAAAGCAAATTGAGGACTGATAATGTCTGAAATGCAGCTCCTTAACCTCCTTGATAGACACTTAGATAAAATCTTATATAGCCCACCTACTAAACTTATAGGTCTATAATCATCGAGGCCACCAGCATTCGAAATCTTTGGAATAAGAGTAATGAATGTATGGTTTACACCATGTTCCCAATCTTTTCCCAATTAGAAATTTCGAAAGAAAATCGTAATATCTTCCTTTAAAACAGGCCAGAACCTCTTGAAAAATCCCAAATTTAAACCATCCGGCCCTGGGGCTTTGTTACTGTCACAAGACTTCAAGGTTTCCCAAATCTCATCTTCAGAAAATTCTCTGTAACAACTGATTCTGATCCAGTGTAATTTTGCTAAAATCCAGCCTTATGTCATCAATTTCCAGAGTTGAACGCTCATTGTAAATTTTGAAGAAGTAATCCCTAACTGCTGCCTTTATTGCAATCGGATCCTGAATCGTAATTCCCCCAAAATTCAGTGCATTCAATGCATTTTGCTTCTTTCTAACTGTAGCACAAGTATGAAAGTATCTTGTTCAGTATGGGTTTTTGAAAGTTGCATTTGTTTTTTCTACCGTTGAAGTCTATATGTTTCATTTCAGATTGAATTAGGTTTGTTTCATTTCAGGGATATAATCAACCTTCATCACAAGTTCCAACCGTTGGTAATCAGATTTCACCTTCAAAGAAGACCCTTGAATCACCTCAGAATCTACCTCCTTCCTTTCATCTGCACCCCTCAGCACCTGTATCATACTCGCAGATACAAACTGCGCATGTTGGTCAACTTCAAGTTCCCCATACTGCTAGTCATACTTCATTTGGTCAGGCACATCCCTCACAACATTTAGCTGGTTTGAGCAACCAGTTGCCTGCTCCTCGGCCACAGGTTCAGCAGAATGCTTCGTCTGCTGAAGCCCTACCACCCAGTTCTGTGGCCATTGCTGCAAATCAACAACAGATACATGTTCCTACCCAGCAGCAACTGCTTCAACCACTTCAGCAATCCCCTTCTCAGCTAGCGCAGATGCTGTCTCAGCAAACACAAACTCTGCAAGCAAGTTTTCAATCATCTCAGCAGGCATTTTCTCAGCTGCAACAACAATTGCAGTTGATGCAGCCTTCAAATCAAAGTATGACATTGCAGCAGAATTCACAGGCTCCTAAACAGCAGGTATGTCGGGCCATGATGGTCAGGTTCACACAAGATAATATTTTGCAAATGTAAGTTTAGGAATAAGGCTTACCACGTCAATTTTTAGGGGGAGAAAAGGGCCAATGTCATAATTTCAGCTGAAAGAATTATTCAGAAAAAGTTATTTTCTAAATATACTCTTCTGCAATAAAAGATTAATTATTTTAAATGGTAACTTATTCCCTTGTATCGGACATCTTGATGTCAACATGCCTTGCACGTTATCATTATCTGAACTGCTATCTTCCCATGTTAAATCGTGCTAGTTGCTAAAAGATTTGTTTTTATGGTGGGATCTGCTTGTAAAAGTTGTACTTTAATTATTACACTGAGGATTTTGCTTGGTGCTCTGCCAGTGGGCTGGGATGACACCACAGACTGTCGGCAGCAGTCCTGCTAGTACTCTCAGTAAAGATGTTTCTTCATCTGCATCTGCTGCTACTGCACCTGTTAGGGCACCAGCAGTAGCATCTGTTGAATGTCATTGGACTGAGCATACGTCACCTGACGGATTCAAATACTATCATAACAGTCTAACACGTGAAAGCAAGGTGAGAAATATATTTGATTTCCAGCTGACTGTTGGAGAGCATTTTTTAATTAATTCATTAATTGTTTTTGAGTTTTGACGAGTTTGTTTCTGCATCTATGTGCAGTGGGAGAAGCCTGAAGAATTAACTTTGTTTGAACAACAGCAGCAACAACAGAAATATCTGGGTCAACAACCTCAGTTACACCCTGCTCAACAACCTTCACAACAGACCCAGCTTCAAACACAGATTCGCCATCATCCACAGTTACAGCAGCATATGTGTCCTGCATCGGTTGGTTATTGACTTTATTAACTGGATTTTATTGTGTTAGATATTTTTTGCTTTTTATTGTGTTAGATATTTAGTTGTGGAAATGCTAACTCTGCTTTGTGGAAATCCAGTATTCACTTTCTGGAGTTAGAAATCAACAAAATACACAGGTAACTTTATACTAACAGCTCATCCAAATAAAAAAGAAAACCTCAAGAAAGCATGTCAATCAACACTGTCCGAACTTCTCGTCAAATCATTTCTCTATAAATTGCTGTTTTATTTCTTTTCTTTTGGCAATCCCTTCTTTATAGTTACTAGTGTTGTAAAGGCATTCTTGTTTTCACTCTTTTGGAATTCATTGTGTCATAAGGTCTTCATATTGTTTTGGATCTTTTGATGCTACTAGGAACTTGGATATGGACAATTACCGGTGGCACCATCACCCAATGATGCATCACGCTTTCAACAGGTGTCATGTGTTGTAATTTCCGTTATTCTGTCTCATTAGGCAACGCTATTCATTTCTTTGGTGTATTTGCTGCAGGGGCTTCAGATGGTGCAGGATTTATCATGGAAGAATAAACCATAAGGTTTTAATTTTAATTGCTTTTTGGTTAACATTTTCCCTTCTGCTTGTTCATCTAGAATAGAGAGTAAAATTAGAGAAATGGAAATTAAAACTGTTAGACACTACACAAATATTTAGGCTGGGATGGAACTATGTACACTGTGGGAGGGTCCCCCAAAATTTCAGGTTCAGTTACAATTGAGATCCGTACTAGTTTTGAAATTTGTCAAATTAAGATCTAGCCTCTTTTTTTTTGTTTAATTACTTAGATCCCTGACCGTCTCAAAGTTAAGCAATTTGACCCCCAATGGTACATCCTAGTACTGTCCATGTGTTTACGCAATTTTTGATCAGCAGTTCAAGCTATTCTATTGTATGCTTCATGCATCATTCATTTTATTAAGATGAAGGTCCTTACACTATGCATTTTTGGTGGATTTACTTCCTCTATTATAATTTGATCATTTCTACTATATAAGTGTGTTTTTTCAATTCTGAGGTCAATCTTTCATTTGTTAATTCCATTAGGCAATTTTATGTCTTTTTAAATAGGTAAAAACAAAACCTGCATAGACCTTCTATTGATTTGAACTTGTATTGATCTTTGCCTGGATTGGACTGTGCTTTCAATCTCCAGGGATTTGGAAGCTGAAGGGAATCTGCGCAATGGAACAGAATTTTATTGTTGATGAATGCTAGGCAATCGATAATAACAAAATATAGTGATGGCGATGGCATGCATGCATGTAGCCAGATCAGATGTGTCATAGTAGCTGAAATATTATGTAATAGTAACCTTGTGAGAGTTTAGTGTGGTAGACATTGCCTGCTTCCTGCTGTTACCGGCATTTTGGCCTGTGCCGTTGAGAAGTTAGTCAGGGCAATGGAAGCTATCTGGATGTCTGTAACATAGTAATGTTATTTGCTATAGTAACTAGGTACACACAAAAAGGAGCTTTATTGTGATGAATTGGATTCTCTAAGGTTCTATACTTTCAAATCCCATTTTCAAAATGGGTGAAGCCTTACATTTTCCTATATTCTGATCATAATCAAGGAAGGACTTAAGACCTAAACAATCACAAACTTGGCTTCTTTGTAGAAATGCAGCGTGTTTTATCATTCGTCATCGATGAACAAGATTATTGCTGCATTCGTCGTCAACGACATGAACAACATACCGTCTTATAAAAGTAAGGTTAACATGGCTTTCAATAACACACCGGGGGTAACAAGAAGTCACGGCCTTCAACAGCCACCAACAAATACAACAGTTTATGGTGCGATTTCTCCATCTCGACCGAAGACGATTCACGGTAAAACTAATATCGTCACATCAAGCACAGTAGGCCACACCAAAAGCATAGGAATTGGTGGATTTCATAGTACAAGAAAAACGCTTCGGCCCCAGCCTTGTCGGCCAGAAACCTTTAATTCTAAAGCTAAAGGGATTTCATAGTACAGAACCCTCCTGCTCAAAACTCAAAATTTAAAAAATAACTTTATTTCTAACATTTCCATGCAAAACTTACTAAGAACGTTATCTGGATATAATTATTCGAACACATATCTTTTAAAAAAATAATGTTTTCTTTTAGAGAAAATAATGTTTCTTTTAGAGAAAATAATGTTTTCTTTTAGAGAAAATACCCTCATTGACCGAAAATGCCTTATAATATATGATTTTAACCAATTTTTTTTTTGGATTTGCGAAAATGACCAACAAATTCGCAACGCGAACTCCAATTTCGCATCCCAGTTTCCAAATTCGCAACGCGAATTGTAAATCGCAGCGCGAATTTGTAAATCGCAGCGCGAATTTGTAAATCGCAACACAGAAGTTAAATTTGCAACACTGAATTTCAAATTCGCAACTGAATTTCAAATTCACAACTCGATTTTCGAATTCGCAACACGAATTTAATTTCGCAACATGTTTTAGTTTCGCAACATAAATATTTTGGGTATATAACTACGCAGCAGCAGCAACTCATAACCTAAATCCCTAAATCGCAACTCATTCATCTCCATCTATAACTCTCTCCGACGATATCCGTTCCTATATCCAACAACATCCTTCCACATCTCTAATTTTTTTTTACATAATTTTATTTTTATATAATTTTTCAATGATTTCTCTCTCAAATTATCAACTATCAACTTAATAAAGGTATGTTTTTCTCTAAGTTAGTGATGATATGTAGTTTATAGCTCGTTTGTTTAGTAAATTAATTTACAATTTGTAGAATGAAATCATCTGATGTTGATCATGTTTGGATAGATTTATGTTTTGGAGGGTCATGGGAGAATGTTCATGGTGTTTTACAATATGTGCCTTTACCCATGAATCTTCAATTAAAACTGTCATTAAAAATGTTAACTTATGAAACTCTAATGTTACGTGTTGCAAAGAAATTGAATTTAGAGCCTCTAAGTGGATTTAGGCTATCTATCAGAGAAAAGGTAAAGTTTATTTGTTAACCGACAATAAAGATGTTGAACGATTCATTGCTTACATTAGTGTTTCGCAAGAAGATGATGTTACATTGTATGTTGTTGAACCTAGAAGTAGTGAAGTTGGGTCAGTAGCGGGTAGTAATCAACTAAGTTCTTCAACCCCAATTTATGATGCTCACAATGTACAACGTTGTTATCAACCTCAAAATTTAATGGTTCCACCACAATTTCATCACCAAGAAAATTTTGTTTTACCACATTTCCAATACCAAACACTATATCAAACACAATCTCAAAACCCACAACCTTTCCCTAATCCAAATCCCAATAAACTTTCAGCACCAAATTTCGGTTTTCGTATTGACCAGTTAGACGATGATGGGCCAACAGAAAAAATTGTGAGTACTAGTCAGTATTCAAATTTGATTTGGTCAATACCCGGACTTTGATCTTGGTCAATACTCGGATTTTGATGATGTTTCAGAAGAAGAAACAGACCCTGCGTGTAATGATTTTGATATTGGTCAATACCCGAATTTTGATGATTAAACAGCCGCTGTCGAGGAAGATGTTGTTGATGATAATGAGGAGGAAGTTACAACTGTGAATGAATATGTTGAACATCCATTCTGTAATTCATATAACCTTGAAGAAGAAAAAGAAGAAGAATAAGAAGTCCTCGAAGAAAAGAAAAAGAAGAAAATGCCACGGGAGTATAACTGGAATATGCCAGAATTACTTCAGATACCGGAAGAAGAGTTGGTAAAGATAACAGTTGATTGTTACACAAAAGTTATTCGTATCAAGAAAGATGACTTTTTTGATACAAAGAAAGACTTGAAGATAGCTTTGTATACGAAATGTGTGGAAGATGGCTATCAACTAAAAGTTAACAAATCAAGCAAAGATCGTTTCGAAACAAGGTGTATGATTAACAAAAATTGTACATGGCGTATGATTACAAAGAGGATAAAAGATTTAGAAATGTTTCAAGTTAAGACTTTTATTGATAAACATACATGTTCAAGAACCCAAGTTTTTCCTCACTATAGACAGGCAAACAAAAAGGTGTTGGGTGGTTTTCTGGCTGAGTTAATGTTTTTGAATGGCAGGGTATATCGGGGACATGAAATTATGATTGACATGAATGCCCGGTTCAAGATTAGTATCTCATATTATCAGGCTTGGAGAGCCAAATGTTATGCCTTGGAATTGTTGAGGGGGTCACCAGAAGCATCGTTTTCCCAACTGCCGGCTTATTGTCACAATTTAAAGCTGAAAAATCTTGGGTCGGTAACTCATATCAAAACAGATAGAGATGGACGCTTTGAGTTGCTGTTTATCACCATTGGTGCTGCGGTTAGTAAATCAATATAATTTTGTTGACTCATTTTTGTTAGTTACATGCATTTCACATTTAAATGATTATATTTCTTGTGTATAGTATTTTGTAGATTCGTTCGTTTATTACTTGCATGCGCCCAGTTATTATAGTTGACGGAGCACATTTGAAAGGTCGATACCTTGGAGTAAACTTATTAGCAGTAGCTATGGATGCTAACAATGGGATACTGCCAATAGCTTACGGGGTTGGAAAATCTGAAACCTCTATTCATGGACTTGGTTTATAGGGCATCTTAGGGATTACATATGTCCTATTAGCAATCTGACAATCATATCCGATAGGGCAAACTCAATTGACAACGCTGTTAGAAGGTGTTTCCCAGATGCTTTTCATGGACTTTGTGGCGTTCATTTGTACAGAAATCTAAAATCAAAGTCTGCTGGTATAAAAAATCACAAATGGACATATTGGAAGGCTGTAAAAGCTTATCGGGAAGTGCATTTTAATAAGCATATAAATTGTTTAAGATGTGTTTTGCCTCAATGTGCCCAAACACTAGAAGATATCGGGTTTGAAAGATGGTCAAGAGTACATCAACTTGGAGCAAGATATGGTTTCATGACGTCTAATAGTGCAGAATCAATCAACGCTCTAAGTCGTCATTCCCGGGAATTACCCATTACTATGTTAATGGAGTTTTTTCGAGCCTCTATTCAACAGTGGTACTACAAGAAAAGAAACCATGCAGGTATTATTTCTTTAAATTCGTAGCTTATCATATTTAATATATATTTTACTAAGTATTATTTATTTTAATTTACAGGAACATTGGAACGTCGTGTTACACCATGGACTGAAAAAAAAATAACGAAACGTGTTATGAAGTCAACGTCATAGAGAGTTAAACCATGTTCAAACACTTTGTTTGAAGTATTAGATAATAACTTAAATGATTATCGATCTAAATGCAAAGACGTGTAGTTGTATGAAATGACAAACATCTAGTTATCCGTGTGACCATGTTATAAAAGTTGATCTTCATCTAAACCAAGATGATTCAAGCGCATACGCTATGGATTGCTACACTACAGAAGTATATCAACAGACTTATGCCGAGATTGTCTACCCTATTTCACATCCTTCTGAGTGGGACATACCAGATGACTTACAAACAGTTTTGCCACCAGTCATGGACAACAGGCTACCTGATCGACCAAAAAATCACGATCACATACCGTCTAAGGGTGAAGAGAGGAGGATATCAATATATAGTCGGT